TCTTCGAAATCGCTCGGGTTAAGAGCTCGAGGCCTTCCTAATGCAGCTGTGCTAGCCACGAGAGAGTATGAGGAGAGAGCGCAACAGAAGAGAGGGCACCAGACAACAGTCCGCTGCGGACGGTGAACATTGCAGCTGCTGCAGCTAACTTTGCAGGGCCTAGAGCCTTGTCGGCGATTTCCATGCACGGGAGTGCCACATCTGTGATTATCCTCTAGGGGTCTGTCTTACCGACCGAAAAGAATCGTTCATCCAATTCTGCCTAGGTTGTGTCTTTGAAGAACTGCCTGGTATCACCGATTCTACCCGCGCAATTCCGCTAATGCAATCAATCTGACATTTTGGAATTGGTCGGTCGATTTTTTCGCTGTTTTCGATCGCAGACTTCCGCGATACTGATTAAAGATGGCGTTCGGGTCTCATTTTACCGCTTGTCGTTATGATTAGCGTCAGCGCACGGCCTTCCTTGTCTCGCGCTGATACGTTAATCCAACGCATTTCCAAGGTCACTGAAAAATGACGTGGACGAAATAGCAGAGAACACATCTGCAAGGGAATGGCGGGAACTGGTGCCGTCAGAAAATATCCGCACAGGGCTCCAGGTCATTATAGTCTCCCTGGTGTTACAGCTTCTTGCCTTGTATGGTGTTTAATATTGACATAGTGGTGAAACAGAGGAATGCCAATCTACAAAACGGCGACCAAATGACTCAGAAGTTTTCGCACAGGAAGCTGCTGCTGCGAGTGTCCCCTGGTAGAACAGCCTGCTTTCCTTCCCGTCGAGCACAAGAAAGGTGACAGTTTCGATCAAGGAGCTCTTTTGGGAGGGTGGAGCGGCTGTAGGCCTCCCGTCGGTGGATCCTAATTGGCCTTCACCTTACTTCGCTACCATTCCATGAAATCCAGTGTATCCTTTGGTCAAGGTTTAGGTAATTTCTACCTGAGATCAAAGGTCAATCATTTTTAGTGGATCTAAATTGTTTCAACCAAGGATAAGGGGAGGGTTTCAAAAACGCAAGTTCCGAAGCTTTTGACTTTGTTGCCCCTGGTACTTTGTCCCAGAGAGCGGTTTCGTTAGCCTGGGTTGGAGCGAGTGGTACACTCCTTCATTTCAATCACTGCGAGCTTAATTATGGACCGGTGAAATCAATAGAATCTATTAGCTCGGTGATGATGCCCACTGGAATCTCATACTAGCTACAACAAATTTTTCACAAGTAAGTGGCAATAGGGAAAAATGGCGCTGTCTCGGCTTTCTTGATTGCATAGGTGCACGAGAAGAGCTTCCTATACTGGTAGCGAAAGGTGGCTGTCACTAGAGAGGTCTTTCAGATTCCGACTCCTTCAAAACGGTCTATTGTATGCTATAGAGGTACATGTATGGAACATAGAACGGCGTTAATTTTCCCTGAGCTGCCCTAAGGATGCCAAAAAAGAGATCAGAAAAATGAAGGGTAGGACCTTTTTCAGGGTAGGTAGGTAGGTATAACCTTTTTACCACCAGTTTCTGGTAAAACCTTACCAGTATGGGATAGTGATGATAGTTGCGGTAGTGACATCCGTTTTGGTACCATTTTGCTACATCGTAAAAGCGCCAATCGGAAATGCAAAATCTTCAAACCTCGGGGAACGAACCATGAAGCAATTTTTTGTGCCGTTTTTGAGATTCAGAAGGATGCCTAGGAAAACGAGGCATGGATCTTGTTTCATGTTCTGTGACGTGCCCCTACAAGACGAAGAAAACCGTTTTCAGAAAGCATGGCATGACTTTGAAGAGCTCTCTGGTCAGAGAATTAGCTGTAAGGTCTTCCAGGGAAGGTCTTTGAGCTGTTATGCGTGGGATGGGAACGCGCTAAAAACCTCTTCATATAAAGCAAGCGAGCCGAAGGTTCAAAAGAGGGAAACAGTGACTATTCAGTGCAGGCAAGTGTGTGTCCGATTGGCTAAGCGTGCTACTCTTGTTTTGCATTATGGATAAAAAACGGAGGCATTCGATGGGAAAGGATTGGAAAGAGTCGGAAGTTTGATCGAATCACGTGCTTTCACCGATTTCACGCTTCGGTTGATGGCCTTCGGAAAAAAACGACCGAATCGCGTGAAAATTGTTGCTAATCGGTGCATTAGCTCTTTTTGGCGCATCAGCAAGCGTTCTCGAGCCGAAAACCCTTTATGGTAGCATCCATCATGTAAGGAGGTCGTACTTCAAAGATGTTCATTATTGTTAGCCCCGAGGAAATCTACACGGAAAAGTCCACACAAATGTCGACTGGTCGGATTTCCTTCAAAGGTTATCTTTAGGCTTCGTTTGCCCCAACTCTAAATTCCAAAAGAGACTTTGTACATAAGACCAACTCCAGTTTTGGCCACAAAGTCAGACACGAAGTTCACGATTTAGGAAACTACTTCTCACCGAAAGTACGAGAAACTAGTGCCGTTGTCCCATTTTCAGCGGAACTGTTTTCAAAAACACTTTGCGCCACCATACTACGATCCCCGATCTTTATAAGTCATAGTAAGCCTTTGTTTGTTCTTTTCCTAGAAGTGGTCTTTTCCAGCTCTCCATCTCATAGATTAGTCCGAATAACTTGTTAACACTCAGAGATTGAGCAGGTATGCTTTAATAACGTTCGGAAGTAGAAGTACCTGTGGCAATTGGCCGGCTCGTCCAAAAGTTTCGAGCTTAAAGTCACATTGCGCACTCATCGCATGGGTGGGCTTGGCTTCCCTGTCCCTGTGGGAATTCGCCAGCCGATGCCACTCTTTACTAAATGTATATCTTTAGTTTGATTTTCATTCACGTCGATCAGCAACGTTTTTGAACTACGATTGCGTGATAAACTGAGGGAACAAAACCCTGCGTGGCTGAAGATGGCTCAGAGTCGCCAGTTTTCGCGTTCAAGAGTGCTAATGGGAATAACCTAAAGGTTCGCGGTGTTAAGGTCTGGGAGTAACCCATCAATCAAGTCGGCCTGATTAAGTGTGGGGTCGAAGGCGTTGATGTACTGCGTTCCGTGGCTTCCGCATCTGGCTCTCCGGCCAGGGTGAATAACGGTCGAGGAAATCCTCGACAGGGGGTCGTATTTGCTCCGATGAGAGTTGGGAGGGGGTCGTAATCAAAAGGGTCATCAACGGACACAACGGTGCTGCTGCCACTTATTTGCTGTCATCATTACTTTCACAAGTGTTGTAGTTAGCCTAATGCAAATAATATCTTACACCTGTCTGGAATTAAAATTCAAAGTGGGTGTTGGTTTGGTTCGTAGTGATCAGTGTGGCATAGGAAGGCAACGCGTCCTGCAAAAGAATCGTAGGGAAAGGGCAGCGAGTATCTACTCTAGAATGATGTACATGCTTCGAGAACTTAGTGGAGGAACAGCATCTTGGTAGAAAGTTCAAAACAGGCAGATTCGCAGCCTTCTTGGCATCATCAGATCCTGCAACCGCAAGCGTGTCATTCATCAGAACGGGTTGGAAAGGAAGCGATTTGAATAAAGGAATGATCAGACATCACTATGACCACAAGAGTTATCCTAATTAGTTAATACTGGAAATATCTTTTGGTGTGCTTAAGCAAGTCGTCACTATGCGCATACAAGAACGGAATGGATCCGCGCCAGGAGTGCATCATTTTCATTTTCAATTTACTCCATCGAACTGACGCGTACAGAAGTATTTTGAAGGTGTTCAAAGAAGTTCCCTACTACGGCGAGGGAGTAATAGAGTTTTCGAGTGGCTTCGAAAATTTCCTTGACATTTCCTCGACGCAGATTTCTCGCGAACTAGAAAGCGTTCGAAACAACTGAGCACCCTTTCAAAAGCGTGAATCTTCTACTTTACAACGCTTTCCTCCGATTTTCAAAGCATTGCCAATGAAGACAGCTACTGTCTTCCAAAGAGTGGGAACTCGCATGTAAATTTCAATTTCCTCGACAATTTCTCGACGTCTCCCACTCTCGAGAATAGGCGTGCTTAGAAAAACGCTCAGCACAATTTAGAAACTAGAAGTCTTGTGCATTCAAAAGCTGCCTTCACTTTTTGAAATGGTTATCAATGAAGAAAGTTATAGTCCTTTAAATAGGGGGTACATTTGACGATTTTTCCAACTAGCGCGCTCTAGGCACAGCGCGCGACGCGATCGCGGGTAGTTAGCGCCGCTATACTGGAGCGCGAGACTGTTCAACTGTGTGTACCTCCTTCAATGTTCTACTTTCCGGCCAATGTGGCAAAGGTTAAATGTCTTTAAAGGAAAGAAGGAGAACCTAATCTGAGCAGAATTGAATCTAGCATTTGGATCAAGCCGCATTTGCGTGGCAGTGGCGCTGCGTCCCTCTCGCACATCTGAAACTAGCATTTTTTGATATGAAACCGGATGTGCAGAGGACAAAAAGGGGTCGTATCAGAGTCCATGTTTGGAGGGGGGTCGTAAAGAGGCGGTTATTTCCTCGACACGATTTTCACCCTGTCTCGTCATGCCTGTGCCTACTATCTTCACAGCCCAGTCGCGCTGCAAATAAGCTGACCAGTGCTCAACGTTGTGAAAAGTAACGTTGTATAAGGCACATCCAATGATTGCCATGCCTGCTATTCATGGGATTCCCAGCACTTTCCACAGGTTCACATTTGAACCAAACAAACCAGTCTTCTCACACCAGAGTGTGACCCTGAGAACATATGACCTAATAATTGAATAGGAGACGAATTTTTGCGAAAGATCTACAGCTCAGGAATGTTATGTTTGGAAGGCGTTATAGCAACTACATTCTAAGCGTTTTGTCTGTAATTGAGAATGAACAGTGGACTCGCATAATAACCTGTACTACGGGGGAGGGGCAAAAAAAGACATTTTGCCCAGGTCGCACTTCGCACTTCGGCCTTTTTTCTTCGCAGAGATTGCCGTCGTTGACGGAAGTTCCTCAGCAAAATATTCCCTAAATGTCCCTCTATAAGTACACGCAGGCCCTCCTTCACTACCCTCACCGTCTTCAGAATATGACGTCATCTGTCACCGTCGTCGAGCTCAGGGAGGCCTACAGTAACTGCTTCAGCCTGAAGCTCTTACATAATTTCTTGGATCGATTCAACGTGGGATAGTTTCCTAGGGACATTAGCTCTAACTATGCAAACGCCCTTCGGAACCCGTCGTAACGGTACACGATCAGTCGAGAACCCCATTGAGCTCGACCAGAGCACCATGTTTCCGGGGCAAATTTTCTGATGCCGTCCACGTAGATGGCCACTATGAAGATTTTCTTATGAAATGAAATGCGCTCTTCAATTCTAAGTTGGGAGCACTTTGAGCTGAGCAAAGTGTGATTAAATCCATTTGAGTCTGGAGACAAAATGTCTTTTTTTTATTGGCCCCCTCTGTATAAAAATATTGTGCACAAGATTGGACGCGTAGACAGTGCCAGTTGGTCATCTACGCCATCTCATGTGGTAGATTTCACTTCAAGATACGCGAAGAACACCGCACAATCGTATTCTTGATTTTAGACATGTGGTTCCACACGCACACACTCACCACCACATCGCTATCCCATATCGTATTTCCATGTATCTGCTTGGACTTCAATAGTTAGAGAATTGAGAAATCGAGCTCAGTGAAGCGATGTGTTACCAGTTCATTAAAAATAATCACAACATTGAAATGTACAAAATTTTGCTGAGTTCTAAACGGATAAGTATGCAGTCAGCATAACATTCAAAAAATGCTCTCAAGAAACCATATTGCATTCGATTAACACGCAACAATTCATAGTTAGAAAATCTCCAACCATGTGAATATGGCGCCGGGAAACCAGTTTTTATTGTCCCGGTAGAATGAAGCACGATCCGTAATATTCACGTGCTTTGACTCCTGATTTCCGTGCTAACTGTCCGGTGATGAACACGTCATCCATCTGAAAGTCAGTTCGGCTTGTGTTGTTTTTGTTTGTTAACTGCTGTTTTTGGCCGCAGTTCGCCTTGCGAATGTTTCACAAGAATGCTGGGTTGTGAACAAAACTTTCGCCCCAAGCGGGACTAGAACTAGTGCGGGTTCTAGTCCCGCCTGGGGCGAAAGTTTAGTTCGGCTTGTTATTAATTATCAAAATCGGTTGCACTGAAACAAAGAGTTCTTGAAGAACATTAGACATTAGGTAAGGATTTACATTTACCTCATTCATGACCCGCATACCGGAACAAGCTGCGGTCAGCTAGACTTCTTCATATAGGGTTTGCCAAATCACAATTGGAAAAAAGAACAGGACCCTTTGCGATGATGGCGCTAACGAACTACAGGAGCAACTATTTGTGTCTGCGCTAAAACACAAGCCTATAACGCCCATGGAAATAGCCTCACCGGCGGCGCGGCATCCGCGAGCCGCGCTGCAGGTGGCCGCTCACAGCACGGCCACTGTACTGCTTCGACTTTCACCGTGCAGTCGCTAAAACGTACGCATTCCTAAGCACTCTATGCGAGCAAACCTACGCCATTTGGCAAGGATTTCGTCATGTGACGTCACAACCCTGTAGCTTCCTACCTCCGAATCATCCTGATATTGACGATTTGGTCGAGTGATCACAAAACTCTTCTACGAGAATATGGAGAGATGTGTACTTAGAAAAGCTAGATCACTTTCTGTGCGAGTTAAGGGGCATTTGGATGGCAAGGTAATTTGCGCACTTCTACTGCGTTGGGCTGCCACAGGATGCTTTGCAACAATGGAGATGATTTCGGGGTCCCGGTCGACGTCCTAAAGCAAGAGACTCAAATTTCCGCGCACAAAACCCTCGAGGAATTCTGCAGGTCAATCAGAATTCCAGGAGTGATCCGGAGGAAAGAATTCCTGTCAACTACGCGGGAGTTAGCCCTCTATAAGTCTGGCTTTCCAATCGGTACCCTGAATACGGTCCACCCAAAGTCTTACTGTAATGTGCTTGTCGTTGGCTGATCCAGTGGATGTGATGAAAGGAGGGTGCTTCTCTCCCCTGTGATTACGTATGATGAACGTAGTTCAGCTGAAGATCTAACAGGTGTGTGGAGACTTTTGGTCGGACACTCATGAACTCGACTTCCATCTTTTAGGACCTTGAAGAATACGAACTCGCCGAAACATTAGCCAGCAAATTGTCAGTATCAACCTCGTGTCCATTTCATCAAAGCTACTACCACTTAACCTATTATGAGCGCGAGTGTTTAATCGATATCGGAACATGGCGTACACATATCCCTTAGAGTTCCACTCAACAATAAGACCGCGATCAGTGCGCGCAAAGCTTCTCATAAGTGCAAAATATGAAGAGGATGTTGACAGCCTACTTTGTGTGAAGCACTGCAGCTCCCAATCCACCTATCTCCTCACTTACTAACTGTCACTTTCTGAAAAACTGGAGTTTGGTAATCCTGTGATAGTCTGAGCTTGCTGCTGTGCATTCATGGTGTGTGCATTCACACCAACAAGAACTTCCTCGACAAATAAATAACTTACATCAGTGAGCTGCTGTCTTTGTCGCGCGGCCACATGGGTTTAGTGGCTGTCATAGGTATCACCGTATTGCAAATGCCACGAACTATATGGAAAAAAGCTCATCAGGACTCCCAAGGATCGTACCCCCCCCTCTCAATATGTTCGCTCTGCAGCCACATTCCTCATATCAACTGGCCAATTGTTTGAGTAATCCTTTTAGCGCACATCCGCCCAGCCTGCCGCATTATTTGGAAAAGTACAACCCGAGTAATTTTTCAGGAATTAGAGCGATAAACGGTTAAGTGTCAACAAACCGTGAAGGCGTCCCATAGCAATCTAACCACCAATCCGCAACCGCACACAAACCCGCACAGCTCCATATTTGATTCACTACTTTATACTTCGAAACAATCAAACTTTAATTTGAACTCAGTTGCATCTATCTCACCACGAAAACCACAACAGGACCCCAAAAACAACAATAATCAACCTACTCGGAATTTCTCGATCGCCTTCCCTCGTACAAATGACATCGCCACAGTCTTGTCCACGCGGAAACGATCACGTTTGTCGAAGCTCGGTGAGGCTTGCAAAACTTCTGCCATCGTACCCGCCTGTAAGCCTCCTCCGCGGCCTGCCCACCCCGATAATTCGGAGGTTGAGGTTGGAGAGGCACTCGGAATACCCGCCTTCTTTTCACGATATTCCACATTCAGCTGTGGATTCCAAAAAATTCGAGCTGGTTTTTCGAGCCGCGTGCGCACGATGCCCAGTCCGTTACCACAGCACCACAGTCTCGCTCGTTGCGGTACAACCGACTATACACGGCAGAATATTCATCTCGGAGTTGCCGCAATGTAGTAGTCGGCGTTGATTTTCAATCCCACCGGCATCCCCCATAACTTACAAGATCTTCCCTTAGCCATTCCATAGAGTTCAGCCCCACACATCAAGCCGGCGCTGCGTTCGACCGCGGTGACTGCAGCACAGTAGGACTCAGCTCGGATTTCTTCAGGGTAGTCCAGAGTCGATCGTTGTTCCTCTTCTTTGGGGGGAGGGAGGGGGAAATCAGGAAGAGCTTCTCGTCGCTGAAGACAATCCGCTTGACGAAATCATCCTCGAGTTTGGGGAAAAGCTTCGCAACTCACGTTCTCGTGCGATTCCCCTGCCGTTGGCGTTCGTGACGCTTTCACCCGTAGCAGCAAATAGATGACCAGCGCAGTCAGCGCATAAGTCTCACCTTAACCTTGAACAGCGATTTATATCCCTGCTTCTTCCTTCGAAATCCGCCGAACCAATGAGCGTGGAATTCCCGTGTGCCTGACGATCGTGGAGACCCTGGTACGAGGTTCGCTTTCCTCAACGACATACCGCACTTAACATCCGGTGGCGTTGTGTGACTCGCCACAGACCCATTGGCCTTCCAGATCAAATTTCGATCGTGCTCCAGGGTGTTCCTCCATGTCTGGTTGATCGGCTGTCTGGAAGTGACGTGGACGCCAAACTTCCTCTCTCAGCGCATCCGCGATCGCGGACGGCTTCATATTTTCGTAGTCGTGCAGAAATTCAACCATTTCTTGCTTTTTCTGGTCGAGAAACATATTACGTCTATGAACCGCGGAGTATCTGCCTACCCCATTTCTCTTTGTGCCGTTCATCCCACCGGAACTGGCGACGAGCAAATGTCTTTCCCCCTGTATATTTACAGCATTTGCCGTTATAGTATTGTATCTATTCATGTTATGTATATTCATATATATCTCAGACAATGAAGGTATAGTCAACAAAAAAGTGTGGTGGAATGGTAAGATAGTCGATAAAATTCGTGTGAAATATGATCCGATATTGATTAAATTTCAAGTGGAAAGAATAAAGCACAAAGTCGTATCAAATGGCATGTATTACGCTTCTAGTTTCTGTATGTCAGGTATCGTACCCATTACGTTTCAGCGATCACTATCACTGGAGTGTACTCATGGGTCAGGGGCATGCTGAGAAATGAATAGGGAGACTGCATTTCAGGGTCAACCGTGACGTTTCCAAAACTTTCGCGATCTCCCCCGTTAGAAGGATCTCGACGCCCCCCCCCCCCCCACCACCACTATGGAACTCAGGGAACTTCTCGAGAGCGCATCGCAACGCAGAGTACTCGAAGGCTAATTATTCTTCTCTACTCTCTCCCTCTACTTCACCTTAATACCTACCTCATGCTGTCACTCACTCTCCACCCAAATCCCTCAAAAACCCATCGGCCTCGACATTCTCCATCTAGCCGACTACTAATCCCCACTCATCCCATCTCAATCCCGACTGCGACCCCCCCCTCTATTTCCGCAAAACCACAATCGTGACCCTCCTACGTCGCACGCTAGTTCGAATGCACCCCGTGATTCTTGCTACATCTCGCCTTTAGACGTACAGTCCGGATTGAATTGTTGCCCGCCGGCCTGCTCCCCATCTTTGTCTTGAAAAATGTACAGAAATGAGTGCCAATGACCTTAACACTACCTAAGCCTCATAGAACCGAATTCTGTGTAAGGTCGCCGTGTATGTGACGAAGCAGACACAGCGCTGCGAGTAAAGACAGTAATCGCGCGAGAACGTAAAGTCGAACGCGAGAGCGCAGTAGAGCAAGCGTATGCCTTCCGTCTCGATGAAGGATGGGCCACAAGCAGCACCCAAGGCATAGGCTTTACCGCCGTTTTCCGTCGCATTTTGAGTCGCGACACTTGTCGTGTATTGCATTGGGACCCTCTTAATCACTCTAGAACGACTAGCTTCTTAAGGGCACGTGAACTCGCCCTGAATCGTGGTCTTTGAGTGCTTCGACACGACGACAATAACAACCTTAGCTATGAGTGGACCCTGTGCTAATTCTAAGTGGTATCAACCTACCACTCGCTCATCATATCACCGTTACTCGACTTTGTTAGTTAGCTGAGAGAAGGACGCCTATTCGCGAATTTGTAATTGTGAGTTCTTTCGTTGTCTAATGATGCTTGTGAACAGGGGCATGCGCCAATAAGACTGTTCACTGTCTTTCCTGCGGTGTTTGCAACATTGCTGCTTCGGTAGGCTATGCTGAAATCATAGGTGGACTCGTCTGACATGCCAGGCAATGCAGAAGAAGTTTATTGACCGATTTGGACAATAATTACGATAAAAGAGGCGAGCTTTTTCTGGGAAGACGACACACCTTCAGACCGTAGTCTCCAATAAAAAAAAAGATTTCGATAGGCGCGATGGACGATGACATCATTATCTATTGCGAAGCAGACGTTACTTTTTTCCTAATTTAGTAGATGAACTCTTCAGAATTTCGGATCATGTATCATGAACCATCATGGGGGTTTGTGAGAGGCATTCTTGTCTGGTCGCGCAGCATCAATCGCGCTACTTGATTCAGCGTAGCGCGATTCAATGTGACGCCAGAAGGTCGAATCCGATTGCAGGATCTCTAGTTTCCCTGGTCGATCCGGATTCATTAACCTGGTGTCCAAGTCTCGCTGGCATCTGAGCGGGTAGGAGAAGCCAGCGATGCACTTATAGTATGGTTGTGATTAGCAACACTTGCTTATTTCTCCGCTTGGTTTCCCCTATTCAGAACTTCGCTCACTGTGATTCAAGCAATTACACCTAATATGGTGCATCTTACCGTTCCTTGCATTCACATCATAGATGACAACGAGGCGTAAGTGTAATCTGGAATCATACTTGCGGATGTACTCGAAAATCGGGCTTCATTTGATCGAAATAAACTATTTAGTAGTGTAAGTTCTAAAAAGGGTGCACTGAAGCAGATACTAGAGGTAAAGCTCACCGTGGGGTTTTGGAATCCCGAGCAGCTGGTTGTTGAGCTCTGAAAGTACAGCATAATGGAATTATGAAGCAGACCTTCTAGGAAGACAAGAACTGAACGAGTTTTGCCTGAATGCTCTTTAATTGCATGGCGGTTCTGGGGAATAGCTCAGAAAAAAAGTTGTATGCTGAGCAAGGGAATAGGCCAGTGTGAGTGTGTCTATGGGTCACGGAGTAACGATTGTGGTGTGCCGTGCCATACAAGGTAGTAATTCAGTCCCAGTGAAAATGCTCAAACACTGATTGTTTCATGTCTTCTGAAAAAATCTTGCGCGGTTTACGGAAGGAACTACCCGAAATCGTTTAGCAGGTAATGCGTGCAATGGGAGAGCCAATACAAACCGCAAAGACTAACGAGCCATTCCTGGCTAATTATGCAGTGCTCATGGTCACTTTAATTGTTTTAGGCAAAAACCATTTTCGACGTGCTGCAAAAATTTGCATTTGGTCAGTTGTTCCCTTGTTCGGTATCTAAAGCCTTCTAATGCAGTAATGTAGATCATGACCATCTGGAGCAGAACGAAGAAGTTCAGAAGAACAAAAAAGGGTTTGGGACCGTACTCTGTAATAGTTTCTTGCTCAGCATTAAAAGTGGGCAAAGCTAGGCTGAGATGAAGGGCTTTCGGCCTTTGTTTATAGTTTTGGAAATCGTCGCGCGATGGACCTTCTGAGCTACATTCTTACCTCTCCTTACCTGCTTCAACTATGAGAATCAAGAACAGAACCGAAACTTGATGCTTGACGTTCTTAATAAAAACTTACTCGAGAATATTACGCTCTTCACCACTGCCACTTTGAGAAGTTTTCAAATAAACTGTGTCTTACAGAGAGCAGCGGATACTTCCTTCTGTTATCGATGAATCGATCAATGACGCTGTGCTCATCACATCCCATGCTACGTCGTCGTCTATCTTGAGAACGGCTCCCACGTTGGTGCAGACACCAGCGACATACCTCATAGCAGCAATGTTCTTGAATTATCATGGATTGAAAAATGTCTGTAATTTATTTCCAACAACCTTTTCCTGATATGCGCACCCCTCAGGGTGATTTTCAACCTCATAAATCCCCTAAAACTCGCGGAAGCGAATGTGGTCATAGCGCACGCACGTTCTGTACTACCTTTGCACGGATTTCACAACGCAGCACAATCTTGTTGGCTTGTGGAGTCGTCCGCATAGGTCGCAGGTTAATCTTTCTTCAGCGAATTTCCAACACTGGTCAGCTACCGGTTTGCCTTCATCAAAATAGTCTCAATAGAGGTTCCATGTTGTCTTGGAGGTTCCCTGAGAGTAGCTTCTTCTTTTTGACAGGTATCGCACGCAAAGGAATCCGACCGAAGTGGGTGGGGTTCCACTGTGGCGCCGTCTAATTAATCTGGAGTGAGCAGCTTATAGGAATTGGAGCTGGTCATTGGTAAGCACGAATATAGCCGCACAGCTGCAGTTTAAATAAGTAATATAATAAATATACAGCTACTGAATGTATTCTCTAATTTCTTTTCCATAATGATGTGATGTACTCTTTATTTACCCTACCTATCTAAGTGTAAGCCATCGGTATGTATGTGTTCTGCAGTAGGATGCATACCGTGAGTGATAACTCTATCGAGGCTTGGGGCAGGATAGGCGAAATAGGTGGTGTGACCTTCTCGTAGTGGAGCTTAAGGAATAAAATTCGCACAGGGTAAATGTGTAATCGCCAACGTCTGCATCGAAAAGGAGTGCCACTCAGGCACCGGCTTCGTAATTTGCAGCGCGATTCGTAACCTTGCGGCCGATTCTGTGGAGCTGGTTCGGCCTAATTTCAAATAAAACGTTGTGGCTAATTTTGTGATCGTTACGGCCACTTTTCGTGTAAATCTCACGCGCCATCTTCTACCATCGTTGCACGCCGATGGGGTGGACAGAAAAGCACAACTGCTGCAACGTCTCCCGAAATGGACAGCATGTTTAGGAATTGGGTGGAAAACCCTCGCTTGATGTCCCTTAGTGTATCCATGTCTTTTTCTTGCTCTTCGCGCTCATAGGAAACGTCAAAATCTAGGACACAGGTTCCCCATAAGGGATGACTCCATATCCAGTTGAGGATTTGAGACATTGCGTAATTCCGTACCTTGATGGTTAGGTTCCTGTAACTATCAGTGATGTCGACCTGCAAGATATCTCCATGAGTTTCTGCCTCCCGTTCAATTGACAAGTCGTTTTCTCTCATACGTGACGTACCAAGCACGAAACATGATGGCGAAAATTGAACTAAAAACGTCACCGATTTTTCAAAAATCGATGAAGTGCTCTCAAAAAGATCAATTAATCTGGAAGGGAAACCTCTTTCTGCATGCGGCCGTAAGTGTTTCGCAATTGTTTCCTTTTTGTTGTGTGATTGCTTCTCGAAGAAACCAGTACGATGAAATGTGCATTAGAGCAGGCTAGTGGCACCATAGTGAAGTTGATGACGTTTAGTCGCTTAATTTATAATTTCGTTTTGAATCATGTTTAAGCATGGTCATACTTTCCCCAGGCGTTGAGCTTTTGGCATGAGCACCACTAGCTGACATCGCATGCTTCCCACCAAGCTCCCTCGAGCATCTTGTATGGGTCTCCAAACCACATGAGAACTTTAGGCGAGGGGTAAATGGAAGCCAGGGTGAGGGACTCTCATTCACATGGGGCAATAGCTGCTAATGCATGCAACCCATGTCAGACCCGCATCTTGTAGGAAATCTTCGGGTAACCCAAAGAAGTTGAAATGATCACCATTCGGAAAACACATATCAAAAAGATGTTCCCGACTATACCAATGCATATCGTACTTAAGCACTGACATGATATGTACTGCATGCCAAATTGTTTATCACCGACTTCGTAAAACTTTGGTATTGAATTGCCGTTAACTCATGTGATTACCTCGTCTGAAAAAGTAGTATTTTTTCCGAATCGACACCACACAAGACGGTTTGCCTCCTCTACCATGAGCTTATTTCTTGTTGATAGAGAAAGCTACAATAGATATGATTAATATGTTATAGTCGCGCTTCCGAAGGAAAACGTAAACTCCACAAAATTGCGCTAGAAGGAAATAGGATGGAGCACCAAGAACCAAAAACTTACCTCTTCGGTTAAAAGAAGATGAGTCAATGAATTCATTCTGGCGTTAAAAATTCTGACTTGAAAAGCATTTGTTAATCTTGCACACGTTTTCACTTCACTGCGATCTAGGACTAGGGGTAGTACCATAAAAATAAGACGTCCTGTAGTGAGAATCAGGTCAGAGCAAAATTCCTCTCAAGCAGGGTTCTACCTTTCCTCAATAAAATATTCAATGATATGCCATATGCTATACTTATCCCTTCTTTCATATCGCAGAAGGGCAGTCAAGTTAATTAATGTTTTCTATTGTAATCTTGTTTAATTGTGGTCCTCACGCATTTTCTGCGTCTATGAATAAATAAATAAAAGCAGCATGTGAACAAAACTTTCTGACAAAAATGTGTAACAATCAGAGCATGTCATAAGGCATTTGAACAGTATGCATGCAAATTTCTGTGGTATTCACGACGCCCTTATGGTTAGACTACTTTAATTCGACAAATCCTTGCGTCTCTAATCAAGCAAATAAGCGTGGCTGTGAATTCTTTTTTCTACATGCATAGCGCTGAGTCTACCTCCCAAGCGAGCCTATGACAAGTGGACAGATCTTCTTGATGGTTAGGCAGGCCGGTCCTCTGTGCAGAAAGGTTGCCAATTCTGCTTATCATAGGCTTCGAAAAGGTATTACTTGCCATCAGTTTGATCTGCAGGCCCTGGTTGGGCCGGCATTCGCTTCAGAGAAATGATTGGTGTGTGCGTTGGCACCTGTGTCTCGCTAATTCCTTTCGTTTATCTTCGCATCTTTGTTTGCTAACTCACAGCAGCGTAGAGTTTCACCTTTGGCAGTAGCGAGACCTGTTCTAGAGTAATTGTGAGAAACGTCAGCATTGGATCTTTTTGGGATTCTTTTACTTTTTTTTTGCGATAATGAGACATTTAACCCGACACTTCCGTCCTATTTTCATCTATTTTCTTTGTACCCATTAACGAGCTATACCTTTCCTTCTTCTTTCCTTCTTTCGTGGTGATGTTGATATAAGTATTACAATTAATGGGTAAGGAAAGCGTCTAAGAAACGCCCGAGGCAACGATGGCTCGAAGCATTGCATAAAGACTTGAAATTATCTCGGCCTTCATCCCGATCAGGCATACAATCGGAAAAAAGTGGGCCGTCAACCAATCCAGGAAAAAGCGGAGCCCGACCGGTGGAACAAGCGCCGAAGAAGTAAAAGATTATTATTAATGAGTAATTTCGATAAATAATAGAACCACCAATTCATCTTGTCTATCACGAACGACTTTTGGCAAATGGGCTTCCAAGACGACTCAATATCAAAAGAGTTTGTGCAGTAGACTATCCAACACTTCAATAAGCTCGAAACAGTTGTAGGTGAAGAAGTTGGGGAAGAAACCAGATAAAACCAGGACAAAGATAAATGGAAGTCTGCGGAAGGCTCTTTTGGAAGAAAGCTCGTCCTGTACGTAAAATGTAGGGATAAGGTGGATAATAGAGTTCCCTTTGCAGAATTGTAAAATAGTACATGCAAAGTCGAGCTTCTAGGTCATCTTTCAAGTGGAATTACCAAAAAAGGAAGAGTGTGTCTGCGGCATCTCCTGCTTCGAGAGCAATCGTTTTAGAAAAAAAATTTCGTTCTCATCACGAGGGAAGATATTTCCGATAGAGACTGCTAATTCAAAAATGGGGAGGATAGAAGAAATGCTTCTGTAGAAAATTCTTCGATACTGCTGATTTCTATAATCCCGCACAAAATTATGGCAAGCTCAATGGCGCTTCATGAACCAGTCCTCGCCAAAGGCAAAAGACTAGGTTGTTGGGCCTTCGTGTTGGAGTAAATAATAGGACAGAGCGTATAAGTGTAGGTAAAAGATGTCAAGACTTACCGGAAGTGAGTACCTTAAGATCATAACCTTAGGCAAGGACCACAGAGTAGCCCTGACTTACTCTTATGAATTTTCTGCACTCTCACATTGCCAGCGAAGGCACTGTGACCACATGAGACTAATGATAATCATAAAAAATCACTGCAGAAAGCCTAGGGTCAACTCAATATGTCGTATATGCGTTCCACCGTTCGAGCATTTCTTCGTCGTGTGTCTAAGACTATAGATTTCAATTTCAATTCGATGTCATGTCTCCAAATTCAATTTTTTTCTTTTTTATTCGAAGTCCTTGCTCATCCAAACATACACCTCTGTCATCTACAATGTATTGCCTATACATGGGAATTTAGTCGCTGTCTTTCCTCTGAAATTGCAGGAGCTCTTGAACGAAGAAAGATCGGAAGTCGGGTTTGAGGTCATGTCACTTTGCGTAAAATTTCTTCCTGGAGAAGAGCGCTAGAGCTCAGACTGGTTGTCTTTTGTTGGCACGAGGATAGGGCTACACGGCGGAGGTGAAGAACTGCTAGCCTGGGAGTCTCCAATTTTTTATGAATATTCTCCGCAAGGTGGGGTCGAACGACCTCAGGAAAAAAGCAGACTTTGTCTTGCTTTACTTTCAAATTGAACGCGTCGCCATTACGCTGTCGATGTTGATCTTCTTCAGTGACCCTAGTATTACTGGGCGGCGGTTCCCAGCGCAAGGTCACTCTCGTGCTCCACCAATATCTCGGAAGGGTCGGACTAGAAGGAGGTTCGGCTTTTGCTGTCAGAACTCCCGAATCGTTCATGCTAGGCTACTGCTCCTTGGAGATTTGCTAGTACACTCACCCAGTCCAGAACCCTGGTGAATATGCTGGATGATCACTGTAAGGAACTAAGGGAGATCAGAAGGAACATGACGATGTCAGATCGTGTTTGGAGCTGATTCGGGCTCAAAGCATGCAAGATACAAACTAAATATTTAAAATCTTTACGACTCTACGGAGATGTCTACATTCCACCATTTAACAACAATACGCTCTGACAAATAGCGACTAGTTTGTTCAGATCCATTCTTAGTGGCGCTGGCTAGGGCAGTGAGATTGCCAGTCGAAGGGTACCTGGAGTGTGGGTCATCTTCAAATAAAAAAGCCAACCCCGGAATAGAGTGAACCATAGTGCACCGTGGATTGAGGGAGCGTGCCCTCGCCTATCTGCTGGTTGATTCCTCTATGTTGTTTGGCGTTTGAAAGATCCTAATCAGAAGTGATGAAGAAGGGAGCTCAAAAATAGGTTCCAGAAAAATTGAAGTATCAGCCACGGAAGGCAGCATGTAAATGGGCTGAGTAATTGCTCAGGTAGGATAATGTGGATGCTACTTCGCAAAACATGTTTCACGCCTTCACCATTTTTCTTGGATTTTTATAGCAATAAATGTAAAGTGATTCACTAATTATGGGACAACCTAATACTTTTGATCATTTTTTGTTACACCGGCCCGAACAACTATAGCAGCATTCTGCCCCCTTTACTTCGTCAACCCGCCCCAATTATCTTTGATTTATTGATTGCCTAAAGCCTCAGCGTATGCAACAGATTTAGCCATGTTTTCTTTTGTTAGTAGCATCACGTGCAACTGTAACAGCAGGTTTATACTAACACAGCCTGGGTCTGTTGTCCCTCCGTCGGACAACAGACCCAGGCTGTGTTAGTAGAAAACAAACTAACGCAATCGTTCACTGTAAAAACGAATTATTTTTCAATCTTTTCTCGCTAACAAAAATGCTTTACAATACCATTCAGCAGTTACACTTCTACTACCTACCAACAGTGCTGCCATTCCTACTAGAAACAGTCCTAAACAAACCAGGACGGAACGAAAGCTTCTGCATTTCTGCAACAATATGAAATTAGTAAAACTGAACTCCGCAATAAAAATAATAGTAAAAATAAAGTATCTCACCATTGGTGTGGGCTGTGGAACCATTTCGGAGGAAATTATCTAAAATGTAAACATTGCAGGTACGACAAAGTATTGATGGAGATGGCAAATGGAAATAGCGACAATTTCGCAAATGTTACCCTCATTTTAGGTGAAGACAAAGTGACCATGCTGCAGCAGATGAAGAAAAACGGAATATTGAGTACTTTGGAGACTTTTCACTGGTTTTGATCCTTAAATGCAAATGTATGCATCTCGGTTCAAACGATACTTTTTTGATCGAAAATTTCTATGACAATTCC